ATCTACGCAGTTGCCTGTACTTCTTCTAAGTTCCATGATGTTCTACGAAGTTTCAGAAGATCTACTTATTCCTTGAAGTTCTACAACGTACCTTGAACTTTAACGAAATTCGTTGAATTCAAATGATGTTCTCTTAACCTGCTTGAACTTCTATAGAGATTCAATAGACATTTTACCTATCTCGATGAAGATTTTCTTTTCTAAATACACCTGACATCCCTGCGCTCAATCGCCATTGGGTCACTGTCTGGAAACTTAAATGCTCGCCAACTCGTTCAGTAGTTTCTTCCAGTATCAGTATACAGTATATTAATATACATGCATATTTTTTCATTAATATGCATGCATAGTCGGTTCGACATCCCTGGGCTTTGGCAAAACCTTGAGTTAGTTTAATTAGGCTACCAGGTCCCAGGGCTGATCTGGATCTTTACCACATTGGAAAGATGCACACTAGTGTTGCCAGATCAGTGTTGATGCTTACCAAAAGAACATTTGAACCCGCTTATAAAAGCATATTAACAGATTAATCATCACCGTACATTGTTTATTGCTCTGTACTAATAATAAATGATTAAGCACAGCATTTGATATTTTAGTAGGAATGCTGGATTTAGTCACATGAGTGCAGTTTCGAACCCCTTTGGATACGGTTGTGCTTAAGTTTGTTCTCTGTTTTGTGCGTGCGTTCGTTTTCATAGTTTTCGGCTGCATTTGCCGGATTAGCGCTGGCGCTCTGCCTCCCGGACTGTTATACGTGTGTGATTGATAGTTTTCTCGGTTTCTGGGAAGTTTTAGAATCGAGAAAGAAAACGTGATTCATCATGTTTGCAAGCATCAGAAGAGATGTCACAATCTGCGTTGTTTGATTTTTTCTCCCGGACCAGAAATTAGTGGCATCGCGAGTGATAATTTTTAATTTACGTTTATTTACGCGCTGCAAGGTGCGTAAAAGAGCTCGACACGATCGGTGTTGACGTTGGCTCGCTTGCAACTATGTTTGCAAACAAAAAATTAAGTGTTTTCGAACGAAATTGATATCGAAAGTGTACCAAAAGTGTTTCTGAACGTGTTTCGCAGTTGGGTGTGGTGAAATTCATGATTTCGCGGTTTATGTTCAGTGAAAATTCCGTATCACAAAATTGCTCACCAAGTTCCCTTTTTTGCCGTTCGACGACGACGGGTTTGCGAGATAAAAATAAGCATGTGCTCCTGGATGTATTGATTTGGTGAGTACGTTCCAGTTGAAGATTGTTCTTATATATTTCTCGATTGCATTTTCGAGGGGACGTCCGGAGAGCTTTGAGATTTGGGCGTTGTTGCTTTTGCGGGCAGACGCGTTGGTCGCCGGTAAGGGCCAGTAAGGGCTGCCAGCCGTTGGATTTGATAAAGAGTCACAAATTGTTGAGATATTGTTTAAAATCTAATACTGCTTCTTGATTCTATATTTTTTCTACGAGTTTCAATTCCGTGCTAACGCATTGAAACGCTATTAGATTTTCTTTGTCCTACGGATAAACGTAGAAAAAGGGGATTCGCTAGGAGCGCTTCTTTTGTTTTGAGAACAATGAACGTAAATATTCATACAATGCACTCTAATAGGATTAATGTTTTAGCTATTGAGCTAACGCATCATAACAAACCTATTATTGATTTGTGTATGGTGAAATCATTGATATTATTGATTTTTTCAGATCGATAGAACGGAAAGGGTCGATTACGACGAAGTAGTGCTCTATCCTATTGGTGTTTTAAAAAAAAAATCACCCTTGACCCTATACAGAATTTATTATGATTTTTTCATGAATTTCATCTGGAGACTGTCTCTCGCTATATTCTTCACATCACTCTAAGAACTCTCTACATGTAACTCTTGAAATTCTTGCTAAAATTATTTTCAAATTTCTAACCTATATTGTAATTAACTCTGGAACTCTCGCCAAAATTTTCATAAGAAATTAAAAAAAAATATTAAAAAATTTCTGAGAAAAAACACGTCCGTTCACGAGCACAGCACACTTCCATTCTATTACATTTCCTACTTGACCTTAAATTGTACAGTTCGATTTATCATATAAAATTCGTTTGAAATAATATGCCGCATCGCATCTAGTTTCCATCTTCTGAACTTGAACCAGAAACAATTCTGAAGGAGTTTATCAGGGAGATAAATTAAAAGTCTATATGTACTCCCAACAAATCTGGGATGGACATCGTTCGCTTTTCAATCAAAATTGCATTTGAATGGATGGGTCGCATCACATAAATCGTCTATTCCAGTGGTCAGTACGAACACAGCAAGCGACTATTATTTGATGTTGATTGCTACTCAAGAATTTCAAGAGTATCAAATTCATTATTTGGCTGTTTTCAGCAAACATGTTTGCCAAACATAAAATGACCATCACACTATTTGACGAATTGTCAAACAAATGGAATAACAAATACAAATCAAATATTTGCCATAGCAATATTTGGTTAAACATCTTTGTCGAAATTTACCAAATATTTATTTGACGTTTTGTCAAACAGTGTGATGTCAGCATTATATGCGAATAGTAATATTTGAATCGTACTGTTTGATAAATTAAATCGGATTACATCGTAAGACTTTTAAAATTGAAATCAACTCGTTTAAACATAAATTAATATTTGACACATATGGTCTCCACTTTTGTACGTATAAGCCATTCTTTGCTTTCGATAGGATTTGCTTTTTTGTATATCCCAGAAGCAACTTTGAATATACGTGCATTCTGGATGTCTGCGCCTTTTTTATGTTTTGCCAAAAATGTTTGCTGATAACATTTATTTGATACTCTTGAAATTCTTGAGTAATCAACAACATCAAATAATCGTCGCTTGCTGTGTTCGTACTGACCACTGGAATAGACGTGACAATCATTTGCTTCATTTACATTGATTTGCCTTTAACTTTTTGCATCAACCGAATTCTGTTAAATTATTGTAGGTTTTGATATTGATATTAGTTTTGATAATCCTGCGATGCGTAATGCCAATGAACCAACTGCACTTACATTAAAGGGTGAAAATTTGGGCAGAAGCAGTTTAGAGTGTATTGTTTACACTGTATTTTTTATCGCTGTCAGTTTTCCGAAAGTTGGAAAAAATGGCGTCGCGAATTAATTTTGCGCAAGCACCTGGAAAATCCTCAACTCTCTCATCGGGACATTGGAAAACAACTCGGAACCGTTCAGTCAACGGTGAGTCGTGTGATTAAACGTTACTGCGAAACTCTGAGCATCGAACGGAAGGAGAAATGCGGTCAGAATGGATGTTCTATTAGTGATCAGGATCACAAGCGTGTCGTGAAAGCGTTCAAGCGGAATCCCAATGCATCGGTCAGGAATGTGGCCAAAAATTTGAATCTATCCAAGTCTTTCGTTCAGAGAGCTAAGGACCGGGAGGGACTGCATACTTACTGAGTGCAGAAGGCTCCAAATCGTGATGAATGACAACATACGATGGGAAAGTCACGGACCCGGAAACTGTACACCCAGATGCTGACGAAGCCTCATTGTCTCATCATGGATGATGAGACGTACGTCAAGGCAGACTTCCGGCAGCTTCTGGATCTAGCTTCGTTCCACAACACAAATGTTGTCCAGCCAACGGGATCACTTTCGTACCCAAGAACATGAACCCCCGCCCCCCGTGGCCTGGAACTGCTAAGAGGAAGAGGAGTTGAAAAAAATCAAGAACGACAAGGAAGACAACAAGGATGAAGGATGGCGTATCATCGAGAAACCGAAGGAGAAGTGAAAAAAACGGAAGGAAAAGAAGTGAAGAAGAAAGCAGAACAGAAGAAGCAGATACCCAGGGCTCGTCGGGAGCGAAGTCTGTAGACATGCAAAGAGTATGTAAATCGTACCATTTGAATCAACACCAATGAATTTTTACACTTAAAGTCCGAGATGTGCAGTGAGCATATCTTACTTCATTTTTGCCACGCAAAATCAAATACCTCGTAGACTGGCGTGTAGGAATCGGTTTTTGCTGTTGATTGCTTACGGGACGGCGTTGGTTGCTACGTTGAGTTGGCCGCTGAGGTTGTTCTGGCGAATCCGGAAGGTTTTCTGCTTCCGGAGACGATGTCGTAGATAGACCGCAACAGTCCAACAGGACGCTCAGAGGAAGTTGGGATTCTGCTGGTGTTTGTGTTTTTACTTGTTGCTCATCGGATTGATAGCGAGTTCTCATCTGGTTGCAATGCGATCTTTCCCTAGGCGTTCCACTACTGTTCCTGCAGTATTATTATTCCGTTATTTTGTTATTCCGGAACAATGTAGATGTAGATTCTCGCTTTCGTGCCATGCTTTTGGTTGAATTGTTCTTCTTGCTTCGAATTCTTGATCTTGTGGAACTGTGTTGGTGGACGTAGCAGGTCCAGCGATGTTCAAACTGGTCTACCAACCAAGAGTTCAGCAGGAGATTTTCCATCAGGTGCGGTGCGACATGGTGTAGATCGATAGCATTGGAGAAAAGTGTCGATGGCTTCGTCCAACGTTTCCCCCCCTGCGGTGATTTTCTTGAGCGACCTTTTAAACGTGTCTACAAACCTTTCCGCGAGGCCGTTTGACTGCGGGTGGAAAGGTGCAGTTTTCAGGTGGAGAATAGAATTTTTGTCGCAATAGGATTCAAAAGCGTCACTGGTAAATTGTGGCCCATTGTCAGTTACCAGCGTTTCTGGAGCTCCAAACCTAGCGAAGATTCCACGAAGGATTCGCACGGTTGCTGAGGTGGTGATCTCCTTGGTTCGCACTACTTCTGGCCATTTGCTGAAGGAATCCACCAAAATGAAGTAGTACCATCCATTCATAGGACCGGCATAGTCCAGATGTATACAATGCCACGGTTTTTCTGGGGCTGGCCATGATTCGAGATTTGTCTTCCGGTCAGTTTTTGTTACACTGGAACATTCATTGCAGGTTTGGACGAGCTTGGCGATGTCTTCGTCGACATGAGGCCAATATACGTACTTTCGGGCGATCGATCGCATTCGTTCCACACCTGGGTGACCTTTATGTAGCTGTTGGAGCACCCGTTTCCGAAACTTTGGTGGAATAACCAAACGTTCTCCATACATCACGAAATCGGCTACGACGTTGAGCGAGTCGCGTCGTAAATAGAACTGTTCGACTTGAGGGTCGGAGAGATCTTCCTTTTTAGGCGGCCACTTACTATTGACGAACCGAATAACTTGCTGTAGTGTGTCATCGGATCTGGTTTCCGCTTGAATCATCTTGAACGATAGCGGAAATACCTCTAGGGACTCGTTGATAATGCTTCTGATCGAGTTCTCCATTTCGAAATTGGCGATAACGATCTCTTCGTCCGGGCGAATGTGTTGGTTGATCAAACGGGACAAAACATCCGCATGCCCGAAGCTTTCCGTTGAAATGTAGCGAATGTCGAAATCGTAGAGGAGCAACGTCAATGCCCATCTTTGTAGTCGATTGGCCGTATACGTAGCAATTCCCTTTTTCGACCCAAAAATAGCGAGTAGCGGTTTATGGTCTGTCTCGAGGATGAATTTTCGACCGAATAACATTCGATGAAAACGGGTTACAGCGAATACGATAGCCAATCCTTCCTTCTCGATCTGACTGTAGTTGGTTTCGGCTGTCGTTAAACTACGGGACACGTGACAAATGGCTTTAATAGTCCCGTCCGGAAGCTGGTGAGCGATTCGTGCTCCCAGTCCAAATGCAGATGCGTCCGCCGAAACAATGATGCCCAACATGGGATTGTAATGGGTCAGCAGTAACGGTGACTGAAGAATCTCTCGAAAACGATCGAACGATGCTTGACACGCCGGTGACCATTCGAATTTTACTCCAGCCTTCAGCAGCTGATCCATTGGATGTCGTAGAGTGCGCATCTCTTTGACGTATTTGCCGTAATAGTTTACGGCACCCAAGTAGGAGCGAAGCGTCGAAACATCGTGTGGTGGAGGCATGCTGACGATCGAAGCAATTTTCTCCGGATCCGGCCTGATTCCATTGCCATCCAGGATTTGTCCCAGATACTTGACCTGCTGCATGCCGAAGCTACACTTTTCGATGCGTACGGTGAACCCATACTCCTTGAGCCGCGCGAGTGTTAGCTGCAGATTGTGCTGATGCTCTTCCCCCCCCCCCCGGCCCCCGACCAATATGTCATCGAGGTAACCAACAGTACAGTTGAGACCAGCTAGCATTGTGTCCATCAGCTGTTGAAAAGCAACACGGAGCTGACTTGATACCGGGTGACAAGCGCGTAAATTGAAAGAGGTCTTTGTGGGTGTTTATGGTTAGTAGCGGTTGGCTGGCTTGATCCACCTCTACCTGCAGGTACGCGTCGGACAAGTCAATGTGACTGAAAATCCGACAGTTTGCCATCTTCGCAAAAATATCCTCGGGCAAAGGCAAAGGATACTGGTTTGGTTCCAGAACGCTATTTAGACCAGTCGAAAAGTCGGCGCAGATACGGACGGTTCCATTTGGCTTCCGAACCGCGACAATCGGTGCCGCCCAGTCGCTGAAATCCACTTTCATCAGGATGCCAAGGTTTTGCAGGCGAAAAATCTCCTCCTCCACAACATGCTCCATGGAGTAAGCCACCGGTCGTTTTGGTCTGAACACCGGCTTGGGGTTACCTTTGAGGACCAGTTTGACGGGAGTCTTGTTGCACAGACCTATCTCACTGGAGAACACCTCAGGAAACTGCGCTTGAAGGGTCGCTACACGTTGATTTGCTTGTGTAGTCACTTGATTGCAGTACGACGCTATCGAGTGGTCCCACAATCCGAACAAGTCCATCCAGTCTATGCCTAGAATGTCGAGATGAACGTTAGGAGAAGCAACGAAACACTTACCCTCCCGTATGATGCCGTTGAGGGTTATATTGCACTCCAATTCCACAACCAGTTCAAGCGGTTCCCCTGATGCTGTTTTAGCGCTGCAAATTGCTGGTTTTACTTTTGGTCGACCGATTCTGGCCCACGATCGGTGCGAAATTATTGAGATGTCGGAACCTGTGTCCAACTGAAGACGAAGCGGAACGTTGTTGAGTTGGATTTCGACGAATTTCCGCCGCTGACCGATGCTTCGGACGGCTACTATCTTCGACAACGGCTGTCGCCTTTTCTTCTTGTTATCCGAGCGATTGACAGCGTTGTTCGATGATTTCAACGAGTAGTAGGCACAATAGCCCTCACGGTGCCCGTACTTTCCACATTCGTTGCACCTGTGATCTCTGAACCGGCAATCCTTATTGTAGTGCATGCCCCCGCATGACCAGCAGGGTGTCTTGGGTTGTTCCCGGTTGTTGCTGCAATCCGAAGGCGACTGACGCTTCGACGTTGTTCGCTTGGGGTACACGACAGCTTTCACCGTTGAAGAACAACTTTCAACCATCACTGTGTCCTGCTTCAGGTTGACCAAGCTGTTACACTGTTCCACAATCTGCTGTAGGGTCAGGTCCGCCGATTCATTTAGCTTGTTGATGAGGCGCATCCGAATCTCCGCCTCTTGCTTGGATTTAAGGCCACACACGTAAATGAGGCACTTAAACTGTTCCTCTGTCAACTCCGATAATTTGAAGTCGACGCAGGTTTTGTTTACCTTGCAGGAGTAGGCCAGGTAATCATCGCTGTCCTCCTTGGTGGTCTGCAAGCAGTTGTATCGCCGCCGGAACGTTGACACTGTGGCACCGAACAACGATTTTAATTTTTCCACCGTAGCAGCAAAAGTAAACTCTCGAGCGAGCTTCGGAAGAATGAAGCTGTTGTACCGCTCATGATCGGGTGGGCTTAATTTCCGCAGGAGTAGTCGCACTTTTACAGCCTCATCCAGCTTGCCGGCATCTTTGTCGAAAAGGTCGACGTAGCGGGAAAACCATGCGTCAAATGTGTGCCCATTGTCTTTGTCGTAGACGAACTCCGCCATGTTGCTAGAGAGGGAGTCCAGCACCGATTCGTCGCGGGATAGGTTGTTCACGGCGAGCTGAGTAGTGGCCAACTGTTGGGAGATTTGCCGCATCAATGCCTGCTGATTGTTCAGGATCTGCACCAACGCCTCTGTAATGTTGGTCGGCTGTGGCTCCACCATCGCTACCAAACTTTAACCCCGGTCTTCTAATCCGCGAAAACACCGGACAAACGCGCAATTTTCCGCACGAAAAACTCCTACACCTCGTCGCCACTGTTGCGATATAGGTTTGTATTGAATGTACGCGCGCGATTCACGAATAAATTAAAACATAACTTTATTGTAATAAAAGAACAATTACAAAACGTGTGAATCACTTTGCTATCGCAATTATATAATGATCATGATGACGCCGTCTCTCGGTCCGGTCCCCAACGTTCGTGCTGGCAGCTGTCAGGCTGACATCTGTCAGCTGATGAGCCATGGTGGTGAAATCGGTGGGGGGCCTCTCAACACAAGGAGCTCGTCGAAAAGTCTCTTGGCGAAGGGGCGAGCGTAAGAGCCCTATCCCAGGAGACAGTGGTCGAGTGTAGGGATCTGGACGAGATCACTACAGAAGAGGAGCTGAGAAGTGCGTTGAGAGTGTACTGCAATCTGGGAGATGTCCGGATGTCAACCCGGATGAGGAAGGCGTACGGCGGCATACAAACGGCGGTGATATGGCTTTCGACAGTTGCAGCGAACAAGCTGTTGGAGACGGGCAAGGTCAAGGTTGGGTGGTCAGTGTGCTCGCTGAAAGCCACTCCTGGGTATCGGTCACCAGGCGAGGAACTGCAATGCCCTGACAGATCTGATCTGGGCAGGAAATGTGGGGAGAAAGGTCACATTGCAAGAGGCTGCACGAAGCAAGCGAGGTGTATGTTCTGCAAAAAAAGAGGACGGAACGAACGGCTTCAAATTCCTAGTATAGAAAAAGGCGATGGCAAGCCAACAGTAATGGAGGTAACCCAAATAAACCCAATCATTGCGACACTGCAGAGCAACTGTTGTGGCAGTTGACAACAGAAACAAAGTGCGACGTTGCAGTTATTGCGGAACCGTATCGAGTCCCTCCCGATACCGGTAACTGGGTGGCGGATAGAGCTGGGATGGCGGTTATACAAGTTATGGGCAGGACCCTATTCAAGAAGTGGTTGCGAACTCATACGAAGGTTTTGTGATCGCCAAAATTAACGGAATCTTCATGTGTAGTTGTTACGCACCCCCAGATGGACGATGGAGCAGTTCAATGAGATGGTGCATGGGCTTACCGAAGAACTGATCGGACGACGACCGGTAGTCATCGGAGGAGACTTCAATGCTTGGGCAGTGGAGTGGGCAAGCAGGTGTTCCAATTCAAGAGGGCACAGTCTGCTGGAAGATCTGGAAAAACTGGAGAGAAGCTGAAAGTCATCGTGGAAGGACTTTTCCCAAAGCACGACCCAATTACCTGGCTACCTACACCGTACGGAGAAGGAGAGGGATATAACATCGAAGTCACCAACGAGGAACTCGTAGCAGTTGCGAAAGGATTGAAGGTGAAAATAGCTCCCGCTCTGGATGGAATCCCCAACGTAGCGTTGAAAGTGGCGATCCAGGCGTCCCCGGACATGTTCAGGATGGTGCTGCAGAAATGCCTGGACGAGGGTAACTTCTCTGACAGATGGAAGATACAGAAGCTAGTGTTGCTGCCGAAACCAGGAAAACCACCGGGGGATCCAGGCCTATATGCCTGCTGCTGGATACACTCGGAAAACTCTTGGAGATGATCATCCTAAACAGGCTAACGAAATACACGGAGAGTGAGCACGGATTGTCGGAGAGGTAGTTCGGATTCCGAAAGGGGAGATCGGCGGTGGATGCGATTCGGACAGTGGTCGAGAGAGCCGAGAAGGCGTCCAAACAGAAGCGGAGAGGAGATCGATATTATATCCCAGCTGGCGCTATTGAACGCATTCTTGACGTCGATAGTTATCACGGCTATCGACGTCAAGAATGCGTTCAACAGCGCCAGCTGGGAGGCCATCGCCGAAGCGCTGCATGAAATGAGAGTCCTTGATTACCTGTGCAGGATCTTGAGTAGTTATTTCCAGAACCGGGTTCTGGTCTACGAGACAGACATGGGACTGAGATCGATTAGGATCACTGCGGGAGTTCCACAAGGCTCCATCCTTGGTCCAACGCTCTGGAACGGGATGTACAACGGCGTGCTAACGCTGAAACTGCCCAAAGGAGTTGAGATCGTTGGCTTTGTGGATGACGTCGTCTTGACGGTAACAGGCGAGACGCTGGAAGAGGTAGAAGTGTTGTCAACCGAAGCGATCGACATGATTGGTAACTGGATGCAAGGAGCGAAGCTGCAGATAGCCCACCACAAAACGGAAGTGTTATTGGTCAGTAACTGTAAAGCGGTACGGTGGGCAGAAATCACCATCGGGGATCACGCCATAGCCTCGAAGCGTGTGTTAAAATACCTGGGAGTGATGATCGATGACCGGCTAAACTTCAACAGCCACGTCGAATATGCCTGTGAGAAGGCTTCGAAGGCCATTAACGTGATAGCTAGAATCATGCCGAACAACGCTGGTCCCAGCAGTAGCAATAGGCGTCTTCTGGCCAGTGTGTCGTCATCGATACTGAGGTGTGGAGGTCCAGCCTGGGTTCCAGCGCTTGAAACAAAGCAGAACCATAGAAAACTGAGCAGTACGTTCCGGCTCATGGCCATGCGAGTCGTGAGTGCGTACATAACCATCTCGTGGGAAGCAGTATGCGTTATCGCCGGTATACTCCCTATCGGCATCACCCTGGCGGAGGACAGCGAGTGCTACAGGCGAACCCAGAAGAGTATGGAAAGTTGTGAGAGTGGAGTCATTGGCTAAGTGGCAACAGGAGTGGAACACGACGGAGAACGGTATATGGACACATAGACTAATAACGATTCTTTCGACCTGGGTGTACAAAAAAAACGGAGAAGTCAACTTCGACCTAATGCAGTTCCTGTCTAGCCACGGCTGCTTCAGGAAATACCTGCATCGGTTCGGACACGCAGTGTCACCCCTCTGTCCACAGTGTGGCAACGTCGATGAAATGCCGGAGCATGTGGTCTTCGATTGTCCAAGGTTCGAGGTAGTGCGAAGGGAGATGCCCGTCGTGGAGAATGCCGTCGTTGAAATGTGTCTAGAGGAGGGCACTTGGTTTGCCGTCAGCAGGGGAGTCACGTAGATTATGTCGGAGCTGCAGCGTAAATGGAGAGAAGACCAGTGATCTAGCTAGCTAGCGCTGAGAGTATCACAGGTGCATGACCACAGCCACCCCCCGGAGTAGTCGCTTCACAGTGGTCCTGGCGGATCCAGGCAGAGGAGAGAGTAAGGAATGGGTTTTAATGGAGCTGCACTAGGCAACTAGTGGATACCACACCGTGCCAACTTCACTGCATGGCAGACTTCTTGACGCTTTCCTAAACCATACGAAAAAAAAAAACACACTCGCAAAATAGTAACTAAATACAAGGTTAATCAAACTAACAATCTAAGGTTCAATATTCTTCAGGAAAACATATATGAGTTTCATAAGCTCCAGATCGCGTCTAGCCAAAATATCCCGAACTGGAACGTTAGGTTATCTACGTCGAGCCCGAAAGGAATCGTACAGCTCAGATCTGACTCCACGATGCTCAGCACAAGACCAAATAATGTGATCTGCGTCCTTGTAACCTTGTCCACATGCACAGATATTACTGTCCCCCAGCCCAACCTTTCTAGCGTATAATGTATTACCACCCGCTCAGCAACATATACGGAACAAGGAGCTTGAAGCATTCGAGAGGCGCTATGAAATTCGTTATGAATACCAAAACCAGCGGACGCCTCTACTAGTGATCCATCTGTGAAGAACGATCTTTCGGAATCAACTTAATGTTCTGGGATCCCACGAATTTCCCGCGTCATAGATAAATCAAAACTAACTGAGCTGCCGAAGTCGTCGGAGAAGCATACACGATGTAGATTATGCTGTGAAGGGCTGACATCATGTGTTATGTACACGTAGTACAATGAGATAAAACGAGTTTGAGGGTTTAGCTCAAGAGGCTCCTCAAAGTTTGCAATCACCAGTGGGTTCATAATTTCACAACGGGTGAGGAGCCTGAGGGATAATACCGAAAAACCGATCAGAGAGTGGCAACATGCCCGCCAACACTTCAAAACTCATCGTATTAGTCGAGTGCATGCATTCTAATGCGATACGAAGACAGCGATACTGGATCCGTTCCAGTTTGATGATGTGCGTTTTAGCCGCCGAATGGAAGCAAAAGCTCTACAACCGATAAAATCGTTGTCCGGTACAACGTAAGAAGATCTTTTGGGTGAACTCCCCACCACGTTCCGGTAATTGTTCGGAGAAAATCGATCCTTTGTTGGCATTTTCATCTCAGATACTCAATGTGGGATCTCCAGGTGTATTTAGAATTGAACCAGACCCCAAGATATTTGAAGGACATAGAATGAGTGATCGGTCTACCCAAAAGTTGAAGCCTCGGATGTGCTTTTGGCTACGCTTCCTAGAAAAAACGACGAACTTGGTTTTCTCCGTGGAGAATTCGATACCTAGCTTGATTATAATAGTGGTAAAGACATGTGAAGACATTTCGTCGATCTCGTTGAAAATAATGTTTTTAAATTCACCCTGTATCCATCGCAGTCATCGCATATGTTGAACATATTTAAAAACGTACAAAATTTTGATAAGCTTCATCAGTTTCAAATTTGTGTCTGGTGTGTTAGTAAATTGTCGACGTTCTGAAACTCTGATGAGCTTCTCTTGATCAGTTGTTATTTCAATCCATCAACCACCATTGACCTATCATCAATCTCTTATGAAGAATACTTCAGTGAGACGAGCATTTGCTGCAGATGATTTATTTTGTTCACATAGCCTAGTTAAGGCACAGTATTTTAAATCGGGAGGTGATAGGTTCCATGGGGCCTCAGATAGCCTAGCCGATTCCCGGTCCGGTCGAGATAATCTTTCGGGTTGGTAGTTTTCTCAACTTCCCTGGGCATGGAGTATCATTGTGCTTCCTCACAATTTGCAATTTCATACATTTGGTTGGTATAGAAAGCTCTCAATTAAAAACTGTGGAA